CTGTGCGACGTGTGGGAAGTTGCATTTGTCGCCTCTGGTACATGTGTTGCGCTTGGCGAACTCGAAGCAAAATGGTTTCGATGCTGGCTTCTTGTGATTCGCAGGAGTTGACACGCTGCGGCGGGAGTTGCCACCAGCCGTCGATGTTCTGGAAGATTTGTTGTTCTTCCAATCCCTGGAATGTGCATGCAAAGCCTTGCACCGTTCACCATTGCGACAATTGCCTTTCTTCCAGGCAGCGCACACATTGACTTGAGAACGTGTCTCATGTTCGTACCGTAGCTTATTTTGATTATTCTCCAATTGTTTGAGCTCCAGTATGTCCAGGACGCGCTGTCGGAGCCAATCATAGGTACGATTCGGGTCGCTGATCTTCATGCACTGGTACTCGTACATGTCTTGTTTCATCTAGGCATGTCTCCGAATCTGTGTACGAAACAGAGATTCCAAGATCTTTGGATCGGGTGCTTCTCGGCACTCCAAGAGTAAAGCGTCCCAATCAGTAATAAAACGTTGCAAATCGTCATCTCTCATCCTCAGTTCTTTAAGGCGCTCGAAGTCGTGCAGGTCGTCATCAACCTCTGTCACTTTGTAGGACTGTAGGATGTGCCAGTAGATCTGGCGTCCTTTGAGCATGCGTCCTGCTTTGTGCTCTCTGGTTTCGATGAGCCTGATTTGGTAGCGCAAGTCTGAGGATAAGATGTCGCTCAGAGCGGTAGCGAGTTTGCAATCGATGCTCTCAAAGTCTCCACTGTCTTGTAAGTCCTCGAATGTACATTCGGGCTGTTCAGCCACGCATAGGAAGGCATATGCTTTGGATGGTCGCCCTGAGGCGGCCCCAAAGTTCCCCCGTACCTTTTGCTGCCACTCGAGCAGCTGCGTGACCTTAGGCAAGACAGGGACTCGGACGGTGTCTGACTCCTTGATAGGAGTTGTAGTATGGACCGAAACCGCAGACAGTGGTTGTGAGGGTATCGGTGCACCGTCAGTAGTCGGTTCTGTGCGCACAGGAGACACACGGCGTGTCTGTGCAGAAGCTGCCGCGGAGGCTGCTCCTGGTGACGTACGTCGTTGTTGTCCTGCAGAAGCTTATGGTGCTTCGGCGGACGCTGCCGTCGGCCTGCGCAGGTCGGTTGCAGGTCGAAGTTGGAGATTGGCGTCGTTGGTGTGGTCGATCAGCTGATTCGTCCAGCTCGTCATGTCTTCGTGTATTTGGGCCACCTTTTGGCGTGCGTACTCATCAGTATCCCGAGAACGCCGTGAATACCGATCAAGTCGTTGCTCGCATGCTCGGAGACGGGCGCTTTGTGCCTCCAGCTCGCTTTCCAGACGTACGAGGTGCCCCTCAACACGTACCTTCTCAGTATCTCTCTCACGAATAACCTGGGAGAGCTCCAACTGCGCGTGGTCCGCCGCCTTCTCGACCTCCTGCAACCTGTCAGCGAGGCGGGCGAAATCGTAAACCGTGGGAGGAGAATCCAGCTGGCCAGTCTGGGCTCGTCCGACACGCAACTCTGCCAGTGCGTCCTGTACATCAGGAAAACGCTGCGCGATTTCAGAGATCCGGTTAGCGAGTGGCTGCACGACAGCGTTGGTCGCATCAAGCCTTCAAGTGATGACTCTCTCAGTACGTTGCAACATGTCGATCAGGTGCGACGAGTTAGTGTGTGCTTCGTTGCGAAGCGTCGCCGCAGTGTGGTCTATGTAGGATCGAAGATCATTGATCTGAGACTGAACGTCGCCAAGGTCGGTGGCCTCGGCTGGTGTTGGTCGGTTGCGGGGCTGGTCGTGGATCTCATCATGTAAGATCCTGACTGCTGAAACGCCTGTGTCGCGTACGAGCACAAGCTGTTGCTCCATCTGCGCGAGGTAGTTGCGCAGGTTCTCGGCCATCGCCGTTCGTTCACCTGAGTGTGACACCTCACGATCAACCTGGTACTGCAGTTCACCTATGATGCGCCGATCTTCGGCGATCCTGGAATCAATGATCCCTAAGGCGCCGTCCAGATCGTGGCGTATGGCTGCAGTATCGGCGGCGTTCGTCTGAACGCTCTGCAGTAGTCCAGAGTATTGCCTGGGCACGAAGGTTTCAACCTGGTCTCTGAGCTCAGCTATTTCACCTGCGGCGGACGTTTCCGCCAGCTGGTCGTCTGAGATGGAGAGGTGGAGAGCGTCAGCTTCCCTGTGCCCCCTGTCACGGGGAGTGCATGGCCTCTGAGAGGCAGCACGCGGGCTCGACCTACTCTCGCCGCATGGGCCTGGGGCCCCACGACGGTTGCGCGCGGACGAGCTGCGACTCGGACCATGCGTGCGTGGTGTCTCATACGATGATACCTTGGGGCACTGCGTCTGCGGCTGTGCCGCCACTGGTCTACTGAGTTCCTCGAAGGTGGCTACGTGCTCCGCAACAGGAACGGTCGCAGGGCTGGTACCAGCACCTGAGGTCCATCGGCGGTTAGCGCGAAAGCGACCTGGAGTATCAGGACCAGTGAGGCTTTCGCCTGACGCAGTTGGGATTGCTCCCGACTGAGGAGGAGATGGAGGATCGAAGGTAGGCGTGTGAAACTCCTTCCTTCCTGTTCCTACTCCTTCTCCTGTCCCCCCGCGGGCGGCGCTGCGGTGAAGTTCAGCAGCTAGCCGCGCCTCGGGTCCGTCGGAGCTGGGGGGGGGGGGTACCTGGGGCACCAACACAGTCCGCACTAAGGCTCTCCAACTCATCACCGAGCCGTCGCGCCGTCCGAGAGCTCGTACGCGAGGCCCCGATGGACCCCTTGCAGCGCATGCGCCGCTTGGGTTCCATCGAGGCCGCGTGCGAGGTCGCGACGCGGGGTTCGATGAACGGTGAGCTTTCAAGGGCTGATAACCTGTGTATGGGGTTGAAGTACAAGGGTACAGAACCCCTGATCCGTTGGTAGAGGGAAGGAGGGATAGATGGATGTCTTTCCCTCCTGCACGATCAAAGGTCTGATCGATCTGTCCCAATACCTGAGCCCAAACGGCCAGGCGCAGGAGAGGTGAGGATAAGGAGTATATATGAGGGTATTACACGGGTTCTATTCACATGAAGAACCCAAAAGTGACGACACTTACATGATTCCGATGACCCGCTCGGATTAGGAACATGAGCTGCGGGCCCCACAGGGAGGGGGCTGCCGCCTGAGACTTACTCGCGATTCACTCACAGCCGAAGCTCGCCTGAGATGAGTGAGTGAATGAGTGAGTGAGTGAGTGAAGGTGATGATGATAAAGATGATGACGATGGCGATAATGATGATGATGATGATGACGATGATGGTGGTGGTGATGATAATGACGATGATGATGTTGATGATGATAATGATGATGATGATGATGATGATGATGTGTGAGTGAGTGAGTGGGCGGGTAGGTGGGTGAGTGAGTGAGTGCGTGAGTGAGTGATGATGATGAGTGTGTGTGTGGGTGAGTGAGTGGGTGGGTGAGTGAGTGTGTGTGTGTGTGGGTGAGTGAATGTGTGAGTGTATGAGTGTGTATGTGTGTGGGTGTTGTCTTGTTCCTGCGCGGGGTGCCTAGAGAAAACAAGAATCCCACTTTGGACGTGGGGAAAAATACACAAAAATTATCAAAAACGCTCAAAAATCGTCCCCATACTATTTTGTGACTGTTTTTGAACATTCGTCCTGTAGAGGGACAAGCCCGACTTAACCCTTGAACCACTTGGGGTCCCGAAAATGGGTACGGAAAAAACTGGTACAATGCCCAACAACAATTGTTCCAAAACCGACAGCGGCCGCTTTTGGGCAGGCGGCCTTGCGTCTTCAAAGAGCAACGTCCGCGGCGGCGCGGACAGCGAGTCCTGTTGAAAATGAGCAGGACAAGCTGGCATTGTACCCATGATTTCCGTACCCGTTTCGATCGTCCCGACCCTGGCGCTGCAAGATCCTGCAAGAGCCGGAGCTCTGGCGGACCACCGTTTGCCCTGACCCCCGTCTGCCGGCTCCCGGAGCAAAAGGTCTCCTGTTTCTCCTGTAGCCGGCGGCAGAAGGCGAAGCCCTCACGAACTGCTGTTTGGCATTGCACCCGTTCTTTCCGTACCCATCGGTCAGAACAAGCAGGTAGAAACATTAAGTAGGAAGACGTTGGAAAAAGATGGGGTGCCCGCCCGCCCCCCAAAGAGGACGGAAAAGGTGAAGCCACTCGAGCATTGAAGCAGGAAGGCGCTGAAAGTAGATTGGCATCTGGGCATCGAGGAAAACCGACTCCCAACGACCGACGGGTGCCCACTCCGATCCTCCCGAGGCCAGGCCTTCGGGGCCGGCCGTGGGCCCCCGAGGCAGCCTCTGGGCCGGCCGTGTGGGCCCCCGAGGGCGGCCACCGAGGGCGGCCGCCGGGGCCGACCTCGGGCGCCTCGAGGGCCGCCGGTGGCGCCCGCAAGGGCCGACAAAGAGCGGCAGCGTCGACATCATCGAAGGCCCGGTGGCAGCGAAGGTTTTTTGCAATCCTTCGTTTAGGTTTTTTGCAATCCTTCGGTTTTTTGCAATCCTTGGTTTTTTGCAATCCTTCACAAAGATGGCTCGAAAGCAGAGGCCTCCTGGGTCCCCTGGATGGGGTCCGAGCAGGTGGGGTCGGGGGAACGCGCCGCATCGCCGATGCATCGGCGATGCATCGCCGATGCATCCGCGACGTCGGCAATGCACCGGCGCCATCGTCGCGCCGCATCGCCGATGCATGGGCGACGCGGCGCGACCCTCCGACCCGATCCACTCCGACTCCGTCTGGGAGGCCTAAGGAAAAGCTGGGGGGCACCGTGGGCCAGGGTAGGGGGCCACAGGCGAACCCTACCCCTACCCCCCACGATTTCTGAGGGGGAGGGTGGGGTTCACTTCGTTCGGGAGCTCCCGGCCGAAGTGAACCCCACCCTCCCCCTCAGAAATCGTGGGGGTGTAGGGGTAGGGTTCGCCTGTGGCCCCCCACGAAGGAAAAGCTGGGGGGCACCGTGGGCCAGGGGCACCTCTGACGACCCCAGGATGCGGCGCGACACCGTTCCCAGCCGCGCCTGCGCCTCCGGCCTGCTCAGGCCCAGGAACTCGCCGCTCAGAAGCCCCCCCGCGACCACGCCGAAGACGGCGAGGCGGATGTTCTGTTGCCTGCAGTAGTCCAGGAGGCGCACCTCCGGGCGACGATCGAGCAGGGAGTACTGGACCTGGTTCGCCACGATCTCCATGCCATCCTCCACCATGAGCCTGAGGTGCGTCGTGTCCATGTTGCACCCGGCAAGGTGCCTGATCTTCCCCTCGCGCTTCAGGCGGCTCAGCTCGCGCCCAGCGCTCAGGAACTCGCGCCGCGACCCGTCCTGCGCCAGGCTCCACCAGTGGAACTGCACCATGTCCAGAGCCTCCACTCCAAGACTCCGTCGGCTCTGCAGATTGATCCTGTCGGCCTCCTGGCTTGCTGGCGAATCCGTGACGTACTTGGTGAAGAAGCGAAGCGCCCCGGCAGTGTCGTCGTCGAGCGACTGCCGAAACTGGCCCAGGATCTGCTCGGAGGGGCCGTAGATATCCGCGGTGTCGAAGGCCGTGAAGTTGGCCAGCGCGTAGGAGCGCAGGGTCCGGACCGCCGCCGACCGGTCGGAGCTTCGCTCCTGGGGGAACAAAGAGTTGAGGAATAAAAAAACGACCCTACCCTGGGTTACAAGAGCGTGGTCTGTAAACCTCCTGGGAACCCCCAACGCCTAGAGAGCCGCCAGGACGCGGCACATCACGCAGGGTTTACCCTGTCAGCCCACCGGAGTTTCAGCGGCGCACAGCGCCTCATAAACCAGGGTAGGGGCGTTTTTTAATGCCCTTGAAAGGAAGGTGCCGATGCCGCTGCTTTCTGGACCTCTCCCGCGGTGCGTGCTGACCAAAGTCTCGGGGCGAATCCAGCCGTGGCGACGAGGGCCTCACGGGAGGTCCAGAAAGACGAGCACGAGAGAAGGGTGGCGGGGTATCGGTACCTGTTGTTCCTCCTCCGAGTCCATAGAGAAGCAGCAAATGACGTACATTTAATGTTTCGTCGAAGCTCCGCGCAAGGGGCGGCGCCAGAGGCGCCGCAGGGGGGGGGCCAGCGCGTTTCGACATGGGGCGGCAAGGGGGGGGAGGGGGGGGTCTGGCTCCAGACCTCTGCTTAGTGCGACTGTTTGTAACAGTGCGGCCTCTGGGGGAAACTCCGCTCGCTCAAAACAAGCGCCAAAAAACAGCTAAGATCAACTCCATAGGAGAGGGGGGGCAGGGGGAGGAGGGGGTCCCGCGCCGATCGGCAAAACAGTGAATGAAAAAACGACCACCTCGCTGGTGCAGTGTCTCTGCTTCGAGCTGCATCGGTACAGTCGGGCTGCTGCAGTAAGGAACGCTAAATAAGGAACGAAGCCCCCGGGTGCACGAGGAGGGCCAGAGGAACAACCTCGGAATGACCCAAGGAACAGCGAGCCCCTGCAGAACCCAAAGCGGTTCTTCTTGCGGCGTCTGGGCTGTACCTTGTCCTCCTCCGAGGTCCAGCAGCTGCCAGCAGCCGACGATCACCCTCGGCATCTGCAGCCCCGGGCACCCCGACGCCGGGCAGGTGCCGTCGCCAGAGCCCGCGGGCTGCGCAGCCGCCGCCGAGAGCACCAGGCCGGCGAGGGCCGCCCGGCGCGGGCCCCTGCGCCCGCGGCAGCGGCCGCCCGGGCCCATCTGGCCAGCGAGGCCGAGAGACCAGAGATCCAACGCATTGATGGAAAAGCTCAGGACGGCGACTCGCCATCGCTCGGACGTCCATTCCCTGTGCCTTTGCTTCGGTTTCGTGCGTGGTTCTTTCGCCGAGTGATCAAGGATGCTCCTCGATGGTCCTCGCCGGAGGAAAGATGCACACGTCCGAGCGATGCCAAGGCGATGCTTCGCCGCTCCGGGCAGCTCGAAAACAGCTTCGGGAAAGGTTTCGGCCCCCGAAGAATACAACGGCGCGGGATGAAAACAACAGAGTCCCGGGGCCAGGGCCCCCAGCTCACCCGCCACCGACAATTTCCCGTAACTCTCTGGACGAGCTGGTCGCGACCGAAATTCGGCCTCCGGTCGCGAACTCCGGTAACGAGCGAGCCGTCGACGTCTTCGAAGCCCTCGCTGGGACCTCGACCCGCCGTCCCTTCGTGACCGACATGCGCCCCCATCTGGTCGCGACCGAAATTTGGCGCGGCCGAAGCGATGGTCGAGTTTTCCAGTCGTGGAGGAGCTGGGGGCCCCTCTCCCAGGGCTGGCGGTTCCTCCCGAGCTGTTTGTTGTCGACGGCCCCGAGGCCTGGCAGAGGCATCCCGGGGCCGAAGATGGCGAAAAACAGGCGTGTCTGGATGTTCCGAACTGCTCTGGTCGCGGGTGATCTAGGTCGGGACTTCTGGGGACCGCGTGCTTAGAGGCCTCCTAGCTGGGGTCGGAGTAGATGGGGTCGGAGGATCGCGCCGCATCGCCGGTACATCGACGAAGTATCGGCGATGCATCGGCGATGCACTGGCAATGCGTCGTCGACGTCGGCGATGCAGTGGCGACGTCGGCGTGAAGCAAATCGGCGTTCACATCGAGCCGCCTCGGCGATGCATCGGCGATGCAGCGCGATCCTCCGACCCCATATCTACTCCGACCCCACTCAGACATCGGATCTCTGGGGAGAGGCCGCGCGGTCGCGGGCGCGGGGGAGCAGGCTCCGGGGCGCGAGCTGGAGCCAAGAGAGGGGTGCCGAGCAGCGGCTGCTGAGGGCCGCAACGCCACCCTCAGCACGAGCACCCCGGCTATAGAGGCCTCCCAGATGGGGTCCAAGTAGACGAGGTCGGAGGATCGCGCCGAATCGCCGATGCATCGGCGATGCACGGGCGCCGTCGTCGTGGCGGAAATCGGGGTCCACATCGAGCCGCATCGCCGATGCATCGGCTGTGCGGCGCGATCCTCCGACCCCATCTGCTCAAATCCAGTCCGGGAGGCCTAAAGCAATTGAGGGCAGGAAAAACGCCCTCAGACAAAGCACCCCGACAAGCGGAGCCTTCAGGGACACGCACCTAGGGGAGGCATCGACAAGGGCAGGGCTATTGAAGAAACGCCCAGGGCCGCTTAACGTCCAAGGACTTCTGGGGGCCGCTCAGTAAACGCCCAAGGGCTTCCTGGTTGAAAAATTGGAGCAATCGGAGCTCTGCGGAGAGACAACGCGGTCGCAGTCCCGGGGCGGAGCAGGCGGGGTCCAGCTGGAGCCGAGAGGGGCGCGGAGCAGTGGGGCGCGGGAGCCCCGACTCGAATCGGTGGGTCGGATCGGCGATCGAACTTCATCAGATCGGCGGAACTCGGCAGCCAAGTCGGGAGAGGTCGAATCGACGAAGATCGGCAGGCGGGTAAGGACTCCGTTGATAAACCGACTGTCCACATCGATAGCATAGAAGCCGAATCGAATCGGAATCGGGCTCGATCGAGATCAAATCGAGCTGGAGAAGTGAAAACAAGCCCTGGTGGGGTCACCTGCTCGTCTGTCTGCGCGCGCCTCGGCGAACTGCTGATGGCGCCTGGGCCCCGGCCACCGCCTCTGCGCAACAAGAGCAGACCCCCAGAAGCCCGACGTCGTGATTCTCACCACGTGGACCCCCACAGGGATCTCGCCCCCTTCCCCGGGACCACGGCAAAGGAAAAGGAGCAGGAGGTTGACAGCAGCGGCGACCACGGCGGCGGTGGCGACGATTACGGCGACGCGCTCGGCACGAATTTCGACCTTCGACCTCGTCTTGCAGCGGCACTTCTCGAGCCAGATCGTCCCGCGAGAATTGGGCTGAGACGCCTTACGTGAACACATTGCGTCGCTCAGATCTCCACAGGCAGGCGTCCACGGCGACAACAACACCCGAAAACCGCCCGAACCGACAGCGAAGCCGAAACCAACCGAAACAGACAGCCCGTAAGCAGCCTAGAACGGCGTAGCGACGCAGCAACGATAAAGCAAGCGACCGAACCGAACCAACCGAACGCGAACAACTGCGACGCAGCCGAACCGACCGGACCGCGGACACCCCTGCTGATTATCCTCGTCTGACCTTCGGGCCATAATTCTGGTCTGTCTTCTGTTCCGGGCGATCTTGGCACCCCCGAGATACTCTCGGCGAGGCGCAACTGCTGGGAAGCGCCAAGAGATCAGAAAACCGCCGAGACCCTGCGAGACATTCTGCAAAACTCGAATCCTCGAAACCTCGCGAATCACCCCCCCTGCCCAAACATGAAACACCTTGAGTTTTCAAGACGGGGTCACGGAAGTCTCTTTCCCCAGGGCCAGCTTTCCATCCGAGCCCGTTCTTGCTGACGGTCCAGAGGCCCTGCAAGGACCCCTAGAGTCAGCAAACTCGGAAAAACCTCTGTCTTGGTTCTCCAAGAACTGCGCCGGAATCCCAGACGACGACGACGAAGACAAGGACGAAGACGACGACGAAGACGAGGAATACGAAGACGACGACGAAGACGACGACGAAAACGATGACGACGACGAGGATGACGAAGACGACGATGACGACGACGACGACTACGACGACGACGAAGACGACGACGACGCAGAAGACGACGACAAACGACGACGACGACGACGACGACGACGACGACGACGACGGCATCCGCACGTGCGCGGGCCTCGGGGGCCTCCGGGCCCAGAGGGCCGGCCACGTGGGCAGCGCTGGCCCGCGGGGCGTCCTCGGCTCGCTGGCCCAGCAGAGCACACGCGCGCGGACCTTCGGGACGTCATCGCCGTCGTCGTCGTCGTCGTCGTCGTCGCCGTCGAGTCCGTCGTCGTCGACGTCGTCTTCGTCGTCCTCGTCGTCGTGGTCGTCGTCGCCGTCGCCGTCGCAGTCGTCGTTGTCGTCGTTTTCGTCGTCGTGATCGCCTTGGTCAGAGTCGTGATCGCCGTCGCCGTCGTCGTCGTGTTCGTCATCGTCGTCAACGTCGCCGTCGTCGTCGTCGTGCTCGTCGCCGTGATCGTGGTCGTGGTCGTGGTCGTGGTCGTGGTCGCCACGTGTTCGCCGTCGTGATGTTCGTCGACTTCGTCGCCGTCACCATCGTCGTCATCATCGCCGTCGTCGACGTCTTGTTCATCGTCGTGGCCGTTGTCGTCGTCGTGTTCGTCGTCGACGTCGTGGTGATCGTCATCGCCATGGCCGTCGTGTTCGTCGTCGTCGTGCTCCTCATAGTGGTCGTCGTCGTGCTCGTCGTCGTGCTTGTCGTCGTAATCATGGTCGTGGACGTGATCGTCCTCGTCGTCATGTGTCGTCGTGATGTTTGTCGACTTTGTCGCCGTCGCGGTCATCAACGTCGTCGTCGTTGTCGTCGTGTTCTTTGTCATGGCCGCTGACATCGTCGAGTTCGTCATCCTCGTCGTCGCTGTCGTCTTCGTCGTCGACGTCGTCGTGGCCGTCGTCGTCGTCGTCGTCATCACGGTCGTCTTCGTCGTATTCGTCGTCATGGTCGTGGACGACGTGTTCGTTGTTATCGTCGTCCCCGTCGCCATCGTCATCGCCGTCGTGGTCGTCGTCGTGGTCGTCATCGTCGTGTTCGTCGTCGTCGTCGTGTTCGCCTTCGACGCCTTCGATTTCGGTATGTGTGTCGTCGTCCTCGCCGTCGCCATCGCTATCGCCGCAATCGTCGTCGTCGTCGCGGTGGGCGTCGTCGTCGTGGTCGTCGTCGCCGTCCTCGTCGCCGCGGCATCGCCATCGCCGTCGTGGTCGCCGTCGCCATCGCCGTCGCCGTCGTCGTCGTCGTCATCGATGTCGTCGTCGGCGACGTCGCCGTCGCTTCCGTCGTCGTCGACGTGTTCGTCGTCGTCGTCCTCGCCATTGCAATCGTCGTCGTCTTGTTCGTCGTGGTCGTGGTTGTCGTGGTCGTGGTCGTGGTCGTGGTCGTCGTCGTCGTGATCGTCGTCGTCGCAGTCGCCATTGTGGTCGTCGTTGTCGTCGTGTTCGTCGCCGTCGCCGTCGTCGTCGTCGTGGTCGTCGTCGCCGTGTTTGGCGTCGTCGTCGTCGCCATCGCCATCGTCGTCGACGACGTCGTCGTCGCTATAGTCGTCGTCGAAGTCGCTATCGTGTTTCTCGTCGTCGTCGTCACCGTCGTCGTTGTCAACGGCGTCAACGGTTTGGTCGTCGTGGTCGTCGTCGTCTTCGTGTTCGTAGTCGTCGTCGTCGCTGTCGCCACCGCGGTCGCCGTCGTCGTCACCGATGTCGATGTGTTCGTCGTCGTGGTCATCGTCGTCGTCGTGGTCGGCCAGCTCGTCGCCGTCGGCGCCGACGCAATCGTCGTTGTCGACGCCCTCGTCGTCGTGTTTGTCGTCCTCATCGTCGTCGTCGTCGTCGTGCTCGTCGTCATCACCGTCGTCGCCGTCGCCATCGCCATCGTCGTCGTCGACGTCGTCGTCGTCGTCGTGGATGTCGTCGTCGTCGACGTCGCCATCGCCGTCGCCATCGCCGTTGTCGTCGTGCTCGTCGTCGTCGTAGTCGTCGTCGCCGTCGCCATCGTCGTCGTGGTCGTCGTGGTGGTCGTCGCCGTCGTAACCGTCGTGGTCGTCGACGTGGTCGTCGTCGTCGTCGTCGCCGTCGCAGTCGCCATCACCATCGCCGTCGCGGTCGTCGTCCTTGTCGCTGTGTTCGTCGTGGTAGTCGTCGTCGTCGGAGTCATCAACGTCGTGGTCGTCGTTG